ATCACCCATATACATCCAATTAATAAAAATAATCTTATTAAAGAAAAATTAATTCATATAGAAAAATAATTAATTAATAAATTATTTTTTACTTTAATCGTCGAATAACTCGATTTGTACCAGATAGACGTACATTTTCATCAGCATAAATAAAAACCTATTCAAATTAAAATTTCAATATATTTTTTTTTAATTATAATCTTTTTACTTTTTCCATTAGAGAATACATAGCTTCACCTTCAGTAACACGAAAATGAATAAAACCAATAATAAAAGCAACAAAATGCAATATATCAGGTAATATATAAGTAGTAAATATATGACCACATTCATTATGGTTGTGTATTGAAGTCATATTTGCATTTGTTGTATGTGGTATAGTTATTCCAGTGTGTAATGTTGCCCAAGTTCCTTCTGATTGATTTTTAATTGAACTTGTTGTTAGAATGCTTGTTGTCGTCGTCGTTGTTGTTGTTGTTGTTGTCTATATAAAAATAAGTTTAATTAATTTGATAAGAATATTAAAATAAGAACGAAAATATATACTTGTGTATCTGTTTTAACATTAAGTCTTCCTTGACAAATAATAATCTCATAGGTATAATTAAATAGAAGTAATAGTAATATAAGAATTGGATAAATAATATTAATAATACGAATGAAAATTGATGAACGTCGCAAACTATCAGCACCAAATGGTCTCCAACCAATCTAAAGAAAATTTACAAAAAAAAAAAAAACTTAATTTCATTATTATATAAATGATAAAACTTGCTAAACAAAGTAAATTTCGAAATGGATGAAGTATTTGTGTTTTACATCTCATTAAACTTAATGTTGTTGAATTTGAACAATTATTATCAAGATCCGAAATCTTAATAAAAAAAAAAGTTAAAAATTATTATTAAATTATTTATATTCAATAAAAAATAAAACATTAATAATTTTATGTCTTGTTTTTCAATGTCACTCAATGACGTAAATGAATTATAAAATAATTCAGTTCTTACTAATTTGTATCAATAGTTTTGATAGGGTCTACCTGGCACTATCAAGGCCTACCAATATTAACAACGATAAATAAGGGTGGTTGTAGATGTGAATGTGGATATGGATACACCCATATTCTCTTTAACAGTGGTAAACTCAAATATATTCTTTAATTAAGTCACTTCTATAATATATAAAAATTTTGAATTATTTTGTAATTCATTTGTGTTATGAACTCATCAATGTTTATTTATTCGAATCTGACATAATTTTGATCAATTTAAAAAATATATATTACATATAGTTGTCTTACTTCGATTCTGATACAATCAAAATCATCGTCAACATTTGTTATTTTATTTGCATTATTGTTTGAATCATTATTTATTGATACTACCAATGGCTATAATAAAAATAAATAAATAAATAAATAAATAGATAGATAGCATATTTTTATTAATCTAAATTTTTTTCAATTACTTTTGCAGAATAAGTATTACTTGCAGCCATCTTTCTTTTTTGACAAGTAGTTTTAATATCTTTTTAAATAAAGTTCTTTTTCATCTTGCTTATTTTATCTTTGACCGTTTAATGACTATCGAGATGTCTTATCAGGGACGCATCGTTCGAAACAAACGAAAACAATAAGAGCAGACGAATAGAATGAAACATAGGTAATACGCATACTTTGTTACTTAAAGGAATAGAAGAAACAAAATTAATTTTTATAAAAACGAAACATGGTAAAGTTCGTCTACAGATAGACAAGATGCTTTCATATTAACCTTGATGTTATTCTTCGTTTTATTTGTTCTTATCTGTAGCGACGTTTTGAAATAGATAGTATTCATCATACATTTATACTTTAGCATATGTAACTGTATATTCTTGTTTGATTTTATTTATTTGTTTAATATATACATATATATATATATATATATGTATGTGATAACATAGAAAAAAAAAAGAAATCCTTAATTAAGTCTTTCAATAATAATCGATGTTAATTAAAGATTGAATCAAATAGAAATAATATTTCGAATGCAATATTCAATAAGATTTATTCATATGTTCGATATACTTTTTATCAACTTATTATTGTTATTACAAGAAAATATGACAGAAGGCGATGACTTGTTGTTATCAAAGGAACTAAATGAAAAGAGAAAAAGCAGAAAAATTCTATTCCAATTGTATCTATATATCCAGATTAATAATCCTTTGTTAAGATGAAGAAGCCATGTCAACTATATCATCTGTTAATCCATTTTGCAGTAGAGACCGCACATACATATACATATAAGTCTATACGCACGCAAATGCATGAGCTATTATGATGTCCTTGTTTAACCATAACAAGAAGAAACATGCAATCGAGCATAAAAATAGAATAACATTGGCATATTCCAATGTCCAACTATCATTTTTTTTAAGAAGAAGACGATATCTATAATATATTCGACGATATGTATATGACATTAATCAAAAGCAATAAAATTTGGGATTATCAAGTCGAATAATATCACGTACCATTGATTGACGTCATACACGTAATCAAAACTCCTTGTTTCTTTGTTTCATATAAATATCTCTCAGCACCCATTATCAGAAGAAGTCAAAAAACTTTAGCTTTTCTATCCCTATTACGATCATATAAACTTTTTTTCTGTTGTTTCTTATCAATCAAGCAATATGCATACATATAAAGTCATTAGGATTCATATGACTTAGCCTTCATTTATTGATGAGCAGAGAATTGAATCATTTGTTAGATGTGTAAAGACAGAAGTTGCCTAGATCAGGGTCGTGTGTATGTATGCACGTAAACAAAAGGATACACAAAAAGAGGTCGACAAGCATATAGAATAATCAGTAACGGATCTATTAACAACACAAAAAAGATAGAGAAAAAAAAAAAAGAACTATATAGAATGAAGGAAATATTTTCATAATTACACAACTATCATCATAGTTGCTTCTTTTCTTTTTTTTTATTAGTTTAACATCTTTAGATTTTATTGATAGTCTTTTAGATTATCAGAAAATAGTGTTTTTGATTTGATCTCGAAATTTGACAAATGGCTAATGGTGAGTCTGAAAGTACAAATTGTGCTCCACATAGTGATAATTTTCAACATCTAAATAATCCTTTAATAAAACAATCATCAGCATCATTATTAACTAATCCAACATCTAACAATGTTAAACGAACATTACGAAGTACTCTATCAAATGCTAGTCTAAGTCGATATCGATCATCTTTTCGTCGAAATAAAATGAATACTAGATCTATGAATTCACAATATTCATCTACATCTACATTTCCATTATTTCGTCATTTTTATCTTATGAGAAATTCATTTACACGTAAACGAACACGAGAATTATCTAATAAAAATAATGATTCATCTGCATTAGCATCTTCGAGAAAAAGAGCTTATTCATCATCGCGTATTGAAATTAGTCAAGTACTTATTACAGTTTTTATTACTCTTGTATGTGCTTGTCTTCTCATACTTATGATTGTTCTCGACATGGTATACTTAAATGATGCTGTAACAAGTCATATTAATCAACAAATGATTAGTATTAGTACTAAAAATAGCACAACATTATGTTTTCGTCATCCAAAAGTATGTGTAATGAAAGGTTTAATTATAATTATATTTATATGTATTACTGTAATATTATGTTATACAATATTAACATTATATATACGTGCAAAACGTCATTCACGTTTATTAGAACGTAAAACAAATGAATTAGAAAAAGAAAAATGTTTAACAGAAAAATTATTACATGAAATATTACCACCATGTGTAGCAAAAGATTTAATAAATGGACGAAAAGCACCTGCAGAATATTATGAATCAGTAACTGTGTATTTTTCGGATATTGTTGGTTTTACTATAATAGCAAGGTAAAAATAATATTATTCTAATATTCTTTTTTATTATTATTTCTAATTAATATATATATATATATATATATAGTATGTGTTCACCAACTGAGACTTGTGATATGTTAAATCGTCTTTATTCTATATTTGATTCTTTATTGGAAAATTTTGATGTTTATAAAGTGGAAACTATTGGTGATGCATATATGGTTGTTTCAGGAGCACCGAAAAGAAATGGTGATAAAGTAAATTTGTTTATCTAAGAAAATAATTATTGAAATAATAAACTAATGTTTTTTCATCTATTCAAGCATCCAAATGAAATTGCTAACATGTCATTAGCTTTACTTCGTTGTAAACAACAAGTTCGTGTACCTCGTACATCTGCTCAACTTCAATTACGTATTGGAATTCATACAGGTATTTTATTTTTTGTTATATATATATATGTATATACTGATACAGTAATTTATGAAAAAAAAAATTTTTTTCTTTTTAAAAATCATTATATTAAGTATAAAAGAACTTCAATGAATGAAGAAATTTTATGAATTTTCATTTCTAATATAAAATTTGAGTAAAATTCTGACCTTATGATGCTTTCTTCTTTTCTTTTTTCTTTAATCAATATCATCAGAAGTTTGTAATAATAAAATATATGAAAAATAATAAAAAATAAAATAAGATTATTGTGTATTATATTTATAATATAAGAAAAATGAGAAGAAAAAAGAAAATAATATGATACATTTTGTAATTGGATATTTTTATTTTTCTTGTCAACAGCATATTGTTGATCAATCTTGTTACTTTCTCGTAATACATGAGTTATTCTAGGTAATATCCTTGAATCCTGATGACAGTTTGAAGGGCTTGTCATTCATCAATAATATAGATATGAGAAAGTGTTGTAGGTGCTTTAAATCAAAAAGTTCTTTTCAATATAACAATATTGATGATAGAAACAAAACTCTTTGTATAAATCTTCACATTCATAATTACAGTTATATCTAAGATTGATAAAAGATAAAATTATTTCAGTAAATGAAAATATTTTTATATTTATTAAGCAATATAATATGACATGTACGATATTTAATAATTTTGTGAAATACTTTCAAAAAAACAAAAACAAATAATATAACAAGAAATAATAAATTCATATTCGTTAATAGAAAAGAAAAAAAAAAACATACATTTATTTTTCATTGAAATTGTAATATATTTATTTTTTCTAAAAAATTCTAGGACCTGTATGTGCTGCTGTAATTGGATCAAAAATGCCACGATATTGTATGTTTGGTGATACAGTAAATGTAGCTAGTCGAATGGAATCAAGTGGATTACCTGAAAGAATTCATTTAAGTAGTGATACATATAAACGATTAATTAATCGAGATCAATATATATTTGAAGATAGAGGTGAAATTCAAATTAAAGGTAAAGGTCATATGTGTACGTATTTTCTCTTGGATAAAAAATCAAATCAACATGTAACAAAATCACGTTCAAATACATTAACTAAAACAGAACGCGAATCTCTTTAATTATTTTGTTGTGATATAAACTTTGTTTTTTTTTAATTTTATTTTTAGTTATTTATTTATTTATTATTGTTCACTTTTGTCTTTCCATTTATTGTATATGTTCACAAATATTTTTCATGAATATTTAAGCACTTAAAAAATTATGAAAGATGATATCTAAATTTTGATCGTGTTTTGTCAAAATTATATAATAAATATCATCGAGTTCACTTTTTTTCTACATGTTTTTATAATGATTAGTTTCTTTTTTTTTCAAATGATTATTCAATTAACCTGTGGATAAGAGTCTTTCTATAACATGTTTATTCAATTTTCATCTGCTTATGAATCATGAAAGAAAACCAAAAGTAATCAACTAGAATGAGAATTTCATGCTCTTTCTGTATATATATATATATATATATACATATTCATAATTGATTTTTTTGTCGGGCTTAAAGTCAGTTCGTTGTGTTGATGGAAATCTCAAACAAGTCATGTAATTCGAACCAGATAAAAACCTTCCGGATTTTTTTGAAAGTGATGTATTATATTAAAATGGGTGAATATTTTAGAAGTCTATTAAAATCGACAGAATTGAGTCGATTTTATAGCATTCTGATGATGTTGACGCGTCTGAGCCGCCTGTACTAGCTATAGAGCCCAAATCGGTCCCCATTATGAGATAAATTTTTTCTGAACAATTAGAGATCATTGAAAAGTATCAAAATTAATCAGTTAGAATTATAATTTGATCCTCTTTTTAAATACATATTGAGAATTTTTTTCTGATTTACAACTGATTAGCTGCGAGAAAATATCTGAATAAATCGAAAATATTGTTTGAAATAAGTAAAATAGATTTTTTCTGTCATTCATAACTTCTCAAACAGATAAGAATTTTTAACAACACGTTTACACATGTTTTCCAAAGGCTAAAGGTGTTTTTTAAGCAGCTTCGCATAACTTTTACGTTGAACGTAGCTGGGTTTTTGTGTTTTCTTAATGAATATGAAAACACTTAGACGAGGACGACGATTAAGGTGTTCAAACACGTTTTCAAAAATTTTTGTCTGCTTGGATCCTCTGAATGATATTTTCGAGTATTTGGTTATTGTAGTTAATTTAATTTTTTACAAAATTATGTCTCATTGGATAAGCTAGAAGTCATAACAATCGAAAGCTATAAATATTTTTTGAATTTCGATATTTTCAAATGCAACATATGTTGACCGTTTGTAGCTACCCAAGCAGACAAAATTTTACCAAAAAAAGCATGTAAATGCTTGAGAATGCCTTTGTTTCGAACGTTTAAACGTGTGTAGACAAGAATGATCGTATAAACACCAGGAAACTTGACTTTTGTTTTGAGTGCGACTAAGTTTAAAATTTTCTGAGCCAATACCAATGAACGCGTCAACATTCGAAATGTTGTTTTTTTTTTTCAATATTTTAACGCTCATTTCTTTTTATACGCATGTAAATTCTTGGAAATTCTATATGTCATGTATGTCTCGTCTACGTTTTCATCAACGAGAGTGGTTTGTTAATTAATCAGTGTGTTACTGTTCATAAATCGGATTTTTTCATGGCTTTTTTTTTATCTTTAAGATTTGTTCGCTTAGTTTTAACTCAGGAAATTGGGCGTGTTAACGATAAAATAGGGAAGATTATAAGTATGTTATCAATTAAACTTTTCATCTTCAATTTTGTTTTATTTTTTTTTCTTCGTTTTCATAATGAGGAGTACTGTGTCAAAATCCATATACACAGATCTAATCATTATTTTTTTAACAGTTTAAGGTATAAACAGAAACATGCTTTATTCACGATGTGAAATCCCAAGTTAGATCGTTTCAACGCGTATACCTCTTCATTATTTACCTTTTGGAGACAATGCAAAGGCGTGAAATGCTTACACTCTTGACAGTTTCACGCTGTGCTTTTGAATATATATTCAAAGTCAATATTTTATGTGTATTTTAACAACATTTTTCCTACTGAGATGAAAAGATATATTGATGTTTCATATGGAAATGCAAAAGAATTGATTTTATGCCGAGTAAGAAGAAAAAATAGATTTAATATAAAGACATTGATTTGTAAAAGAAAGAAAAGATAAAACGAGTATGTACGCTTATCCCATAGTTAATAAAATATATGATTAAAATGAAGAAATACCTCGTTTTATGTTTCACTTTCGTCGATCGAATTTCTGATAATAATGATAACATGCGTGAGATGTACAATTCATCCTATTTTATTAAATCTAATCTTTCTCTAATTTATTATTTTTTCTAATCAGATTCATGCTCATAGAATTTTTCTCATCTATATAAATCAATCTAGGTGTTTTACTCCATTTTCTCTTATATTCATAGTCATGATGATCGACTGTGGAAACGAGGACAATGAGAAGACATTTCAAAGATAACATTTGCGTGCCTGAATATAAGTCTCTTTTCTGTATATGTCATGTCTATATATATCTCTCTCTCTCTTTTTCTTGCATTTGAGTTGAACTCTTTATCAGCTAAACTGAAACATCTATAATAAATAATGAACTTTTACACTCTTTCATATATCTTTAAAAATGAATAACGTAAATAGTTCTAACCTTGCATATATTGCCACAATCTTTCTGCTTCATTTTTCCATTTGCATAATTTTTTATTTTCTGTTATGTTGACAATTGGCGTACTTTTTTTCCGCACAATATCTTTTGTTTGGTGTGTTGTCTACTTTTAACCTTACCGAACGTCTTTTTCAAAGTCTATGGTTTTTCATTTCGAACTGCATTATAAACAAACTCATGCCTCTTTTTCCAAAACCGGAAAGGTTTAGCGGTTCCGAAAAAACCAACATAGTACGCTTAACGTTATTCTAACAACATGTCCTCACTGAAGAATGTAAATGATATTGTATGCCTTCCATTTTACGAGGGTGGGAATCTTGTAAGTATAAATTTTATAGACCCACAAGGCACCCATTTCAGTTGAAAATTCAATTGCCTTTTTTCTTTGAAATTCGGATTGAAATCAAATAGATCATTGCATGCTTTTCCAAGGTATCTTTTCTATTTTGATTAACAGATAGATAGATGGATAGATACATAGATATTCGTATATATTTATATCGGCAGATGTATAGGTATGTTAGTATATAGCTAGTTAAATAGATTTACACAATCAATGTCAAAAGTAAAATTATCAATAGTTAAATATCGAAAGTAAGAGTGTCGAATGATAAAAATATGGAAGAAAAAACATTGCTATCTACCTTCATCCAAACTTTGACTTATTTACTTTGGTGGTATTTTTATACTTTGAAATTTTATTTATCAATCAAATTTAAGTTTATCAGCTAACGAGTTAGATAATTACACAGTGAGATAGCTAGGGTGGTACACTTGTAGTTAGATAAATAGTCAGACATTTCATGAAGCAGATGTTTAGGCAAATAGTTATGTTGATAGTTAGATAATAAGCTTGACACGAAGCTAAAGAGATAGTTAATGCCTATTATAGAGTTAATTGGCACCAGACATTTTTTGCATAACTGTCAAATAGTAAAAACTAAACAGTTTATGAGTTTTCAGTTCTGTCTACAATCGATAGGAAATTTTTATTGCTTTTCTTATTGAGTCCATGGTAAGTCTTGAAGATGATATTCGCTCGGTTAGGATAAAAATTTATTTTCAATGATAATATGATGTTTGGAAAGATTTCTTATAACTTTAAGTTTTGAAAAGCTATGGCGAACGATCTCCAATAAAATCTTTATGACTTTCGAACGAAAACAATTAGTCATCTCAATCTTGTATTGCTTGACAAAGGAGATACTGATCTTTTTAATCACAATATTACACTTGGATACTCATACTATATCTAGATCAGATAGTTGTTGTCTTGAAAAGTGGTCACGTGTTCAATATGAAAAACAAGAAAATTTATAACTGACTGTGTCAAAAGATAGAGCAATGTCAGCTACAGATAGTGCTGAAAATCAGAACTCTAGCTCTTGTTCTTTATTCAAAAAACAGGGTCGACATGTACTTAAAATCTGAAATAGACATTAGTTAGATAGGCATATGGATTGATAATAAGTTAAGTAGGTCATAGTTATGTTTTTAGACATATAACTAATTGATAAATCGGTAGTTAGTTAGACCGATAATTAAAAGTAGCTAGTTAAGTAGGTAGGTAGAGACATAGTTAAGTAAGCAGATACGTAGTGGATAATGGATTAGATAGATAGGCGCATAGATAAGTAGGTAGATAGCTAGACGAATAGAAACATCGAAAATATATTCGTAGATAGATTGATAGATTGCTATATATATTTGTATGAAAGTTAATGAGTAAAGAGATAAATCCGCCTATCTGTGTATCAATTGTTGATATCATATGAACCCTTAGATGCTAAAAATATCATGGAAAAAAAAAACAAATTAGAAAAGTGGTGGAAATACATAAAACAAAAATACTAGGGTATGTTAACGCAAGAAAAATCTAATCATCTTAAGGTGTTCATTGTGGTTCTCAATTATGAGTTAGAAACGCTTGCAAAAGATAGACATGTAAACACGTGAAATACCCAAACATGTCTCGATGCTCATCTGCGCTCCTAAATGTCACTTAGAAATGCTTATAAAAAATAAGTATGAAAATGACCAAAAATTTGTAACGTATAAATCGTCAAAAGTCTTAGGTAGTGTGAGAAGTGATCGTTTTCATGCTGCATTATTCTGAATTCCTTCGGATGGCAATCAGGAATCGCAATTGACATCGGGAAAACGGTCGAGATGTTTTTAAACGTTTTCATGTTCTTTTTCATTTCTTTTTTTGTTTGCTTGCGTATTATCATCAATTCGAAACTAACTAATCGAATTTCATATTGAATTTATCTCTTAGCTGTAAAAATTCACTACATTCGCAGCGAAGAATATTCCGCAAAAAAATCGAAAATATACTCGTTCATGAAAAAAATATAAGATGATTTTGTTAGTAGACTACAGATCC